TTACTATTATTATTATCTTAGTATTATTATTATCATGAGTATTATTATTGTTGTTTTTCTTCTCCTCAACACCACCACCCCCCACCCCCAACCCTACTTCAGACATACGAGGACCCGAACCACGTGACCCCCGACACTGGCACCAATGGAGACTCTGACCCCATCGATGTCTGTGAGATTGGATACAAGGTCAGTTCTCTGAACATTTCCCCGCGTTTTCTTTTGGTCTTGTCTGTTATTTCCAGATATTAGTTTTAGTAAGAGTTTTATAGCACTTGCAAGACAATAAGTTCATATAAGTGCAGAAGATTAGAAGTGTGACAGTTCATATAAGTGCAGAAGATTAGAAGTGTGACAAGAGGGTAACAAACGGAAAAAAAAGAAGAAGCAGGAAATGAGATTATAAAGATGATAGATGTTTGATAGGAAAGAGGGAGCAAACCACACCAGAGCACCCGCCAACCAACAGCCTTCCAGATATCTAGATATCCTTTGTCCCGGACTATTGTGAAACATTGATGAGGTTGATCCTTCCCCCATCTTGTCACCAGCTTGTAATTTCCTGATGCCTACTTACTCTCATAACATTTGGTGGGGAGGAGGCTTTTAGTTTCTTGTCTGAGACAGCCGCCCGTTGGCGAGGAGAAAAATAGTAGTCTTCGACTGGTGGATGTCTTACAATGTCGTGATATGTTTTAAAATGTGAAGGGGGGGGGGGGGGGGGGGGAAAGTGGCCGTTTGTACATGTGATTGATTGTCTTATACAGGTGTCTGTAAAAGCAAGTTTGATTGTATTTGTTTCTAGTGTGTTATATCAAGACATAACTTGAACATACTGTTCCAGTTAAATTTTATATACCGGTAATGCTGAACAGATGGATGTTAAAAAATTCATTATATGAATGTGTCATTAATATGAAAGTAATTGTTGTGTCTTTTTCGACTGCATTTTTGGGGGGTTTTTTGGTCGCTATTGTTTAATTTTTGTGTTTTTCTTTTCTTCCCCCCAGATCCACGAGCGTGGGGCTGTGATCCAAGTGAAGGTTGTGGGTATCATGTGCCTTATTGACGAGGGTAAGTCAAGAGCTTGGGGGGGGGGGGGGGGGG